GGTTGCGGGGAGGTATGTAGGGGAAGGGGAAAGTGTTTCCCGCCCCCCTCTCCTTGTGAAAAAAAAAAAAAAAAAAAAAAAAACAGCACTAATGCGACCCACAACGTCACGCATCACGCATCATAATATATCAGGAGCTTTTTTGTTTGTTTATTTGTTTCTGTTTTCGATGAAGGGTGGAGATTCCAACAGGATGTGGGGTATTCAATGAAACCAGTCATTTATTAAAATAACCACTTATTATTATTATTTGATCCCATATTTCAAGAAGGTGCAGCGTGGCACCTTTTAGCTTCATACAGAAAGACTTCAGATCTATTAATTTGTGTGTGTGTTTTGTTTTTTTTTTTCTGGAAAACTTGGATTATAAAATGGTTGGAGTTTAACATCTGCTCATTTCAAACGTTTCCTCTTCACTGCAGACACTTTGAAGTTGAGCAGAGAAACACAGGTGTTACATTCAATATTCTTTTCAGTAATTCCAGGGTGCCAGGAGTTTGTTTATGTGATTGTTGTTGCTTGTTTTTAGATTGAAAAGAGTTTCATTTAAAATGAATTTCATAAATGTCGCTGTTCAAACCTCCTGTTTTCCTTAATGAAGTCTTCCTTGAATAATTACTCCGATCTCCCTTTCAGAAAACAAGAAAAGAAAGGCGATGCAAACCTAAAAGTACATGAATGTATATGTGCAACATTAGCAAGTTAGTTATTTTGTTAATTGTATGAAAGCAAAGTATTAGTTTCTGAACTATCCACAGGATGTTCATTTGTAATACGACAACTATAAGAGAGTGTAAAAGGATAAATTGTATTCAAAAGAAACTTTATAATTTATAACTTGGTAAATAAAACTGCTCAATCCAGAGTAAACTATTACTAAAGAACAAGTAACATCAATATAAACTGATAGCAGCAGATTGTTTTCACCAAATAATAATAATAAAATAGTTAAATCAAGATATACTAAATGTGTTTCTAATTCTTGCTCTTCACATCAACTCTCTTTATCTGAGCCCAGCAAGACAAATATTTCAGTCTGAAATCCATCACAGTTATGTGCTGTGTTTAAAACTAAACATTAAAGGTATTTATGAAATTATTCCCTTTTCTATAATAAGTTTAACAATTCCAGGAATAAATTGTATGTCCTAAATAATAATGCAATATTTTGGAACTGACCCTGTTGCTCTTTGCTTCTCTTTGTTGACAGACTTGTACTTTGGCTCCATCTACTGGTCGGGTTGTGAGTTGGGACTCCTGAGATTGCAAGCAACATGAAAATACATTCTGCACAGTCCAAAAGGTCACTCAGAAAGACGTTATTTATTGGGTTGATTTTGCTTGCTCTCCCATTGCTTTTGTAGATTCTCACCAGGTAACCTGGGCTAATGGTACAGTCCACAAAATATGAATGTTGGTTTAATCCAATAAGCTAAACTTTCCAAAGGTTCAAGTGTGTGCATGTGTGTGATGGTCTGATGCCTTACATTTTCCTGCCAGGCATTGGCAAAAGTTTTTATAGGAATGAAACTCAAGCAAATTAAAACATACCATAAATTACATTTATCTGTGTGGTTAAATAAAACTGATTTGAATACATTCTTCAGGTTCTTTACTTTACAATATCAGTGCACTTTGTTTACTTCTTCATTTAACATGAACATAGAACACCAAAAAATATGCAAAAAAATATTTTGGTTATTTTTTTTTCCAAAATAAAAGGATATGCAAAGTAAATACAGTACCCATTTCATCTTAAGCTACACATTTCTTATTCATTCACAAAAATGAATTTATTTTATTGCCTCTGTTTGAATCATGCTTTTACTCCTTCATTTAAATTGCTTTAAACAGACAGTGCAAACTAAATAAATACTTTAGTACCCTCCTACTCAGTGAACAGCAGATGGCCAGAGAAGAAGCTGTCACTGGTCAGTCCGTTGCCACCATGGTTAGCAATCAGCCACACCCTGTCTCCCTTTGCAAGCTTGATGAAGGTGCTGCCACTGGCTGTGATGTAGCCGCTCTGGCGGGTGGTGAATGAGTGCAGGATCAGCTTTCCGTTATGAAGCAGATCCACACTGGCTTCGTTTTGGTAAATGATGCAGTGGAACTCAAACTCATAGACACCTGGGTGCTCACAGGTGAAAAAGCCGGTCTTGGGGTCATAGCTGCTCTGTCCGTTGTAGATGACATCATGGAAGGCGATGGGGGCACCAGCTTTGGGGAAGTTGTTACCAAGGCGAACAGAGAAGGCGACATGCTCTGCTGCGCCTGAAGGTCCGGGAGGTCCAGGGGGTCCTGGCGGACCGCGCGGCCCTGCGGGTCCTTTAAGTACAAATACATGAGTAACATTATAATCAAGATCATCTATGGGCTTTCAAGACAATATACCATCAGTAATAATGATGACCATATAAGGAAGTGGAAAATTTACCTGGTGGACCTGGTGGACCTTGAGCCCCTTGTTGACTATCTGGACCTTGAGCTGGAGAAAATATATCAAATCAATGTACTTACTATAACTTCAGAAACTGCACAAATGCAAACAGCAGCAATACTTGTAAGAATATTAAAATGTGAACATACCACCCTCCTTCCATGGACTGAGGTCAAATGCAGGGATGTCGTCACACTGGGTGTATCCAGAACCTCGAGGTCGGTACTGGAAAGGTTTCTCAGGAACTTCAGTGATCCCAGTGTTGTCACAGATGATTCTGGCAAGAGATGTGTCCCTAATTGCCAGCCTCTGAGCCGCAGTGAAGACACCTTCATTCTCCCACCAAAACCTAAAACAAAACACAGTGTACAAGTTTAACATCTCCAGAGGTAAAAACACAAACACCACATTAATGCTTAGATAGTTCATCAGTAGATTTGTAATTGTCTGTCTTCTCACCTGTCTCCCTCGCGGATGTTCTGGAACTGAGTAGCAATCAGACAGGCAAACAGAGGTCCCACTCTTCCTCCACTGACAAATGGCTCAGCCACTCCTGCCAGCCATGGATCGATGTTGTCAGGTGTACCGTAAAGATCCAGCAGTCCTTGGGCCAAGTCAGTGTTGTTGAGAACCTCAGCCAACTCACTTAGAGTCCGTGGCTGTGACAGGCCACAGAACTCTCGCCATTTGTTGTAGCCTAAACCAAGGACAGACAGTCTAAGATGATGTATGACCTGGTGCATAGAAGGGAGGAGTACAAAAATAAATATCAACATTTAATAAATACCAGGGAGTCCATGGTCTCTTCCTCTCTGCAGGTTAAGAGATCCCAGATCCAGAGCCAGCTTTACAGAGAATTTAAACAGTCTGTCTCTCAGCTCGTCAGTCAACATGTGGTCCTGAGTGTTCAGCTTGGCCGGACGACCAATCAACCCTCTCAAGATCGGGTCCAATCCACCTGAAGAGACAATAGAAACATTTGGATGTGGTCTTCAAGTTCATCTGATTCCTTTGGGAGAAATT